ACGGAAATAAAAGCACAACAGTAATTATCCGCTGTGTCCTGAGCAAACATAAAAAGGCTGAAAATTAAGGATAGTAAACAAAGTCCCTGATCACGTTGACCGATTCAATTTTCCAATCGACATTCGGAAAAAACGTGATATGAAAGAGTAACGGAAAGACTCGAACAGCGCTTCGCGTGGAATCGAGTCCTGAAAAACAACGTGCAAGATCCACGAACAGATTCGATTTGAAACTTTCGTAAAATGCATGCGAAAAACGGCGGTTCTATTTTTTTACGAAACATTGATCAACGAATTCTTGTTAGATTCATATCGATAGAAACGAAAGATGATTAACGACAACAGAGATTTTCTCTAAAAATTAACAAACATATACATTCGATTTCCTTTTTTAATAACACAGATAATCTTCATTTTCGTTTATTCTCGTAGTAAATAGCCGTAGTTAATATTCATTGGTTATTTATGAAGTTACGCTTGAAATATACCACGCGTAATGAACGTGAGATTGGATTTTTAATTCTATTGCCTGGAAATTTCGTAAATTTTTCGATGATAAAAGTAAAACTCTCACAGGTGAATTAAAAATGATGTAATAACAAACCATGTTATGGTTGTTTTTCATGATACTTTCTAATATGGCGCGCCTCTTTGTAACGGGGATGCATTTATAAGGTTGTCAGGTTCATTCATGGTTCAATTTCGCGTGCAACTTGTTCGTAATGCACTCGCGTTACTCGCAACTGGAACGCACAAAAACTCGGAAGCGCACCTGTGGCGCATTTTATCTATCAATCCTTCAAATGCGAAGCAGCAAACGGCGAGAAAAATGAGAAATCGATAAGCCACGGTACTGCAGGTCTAAACATTCGGTTCGTGTGCGAGACATTAACCTGTCACTGCTGTTTTATGAAGGAATGCAACGAGTTTATACAGAATCTTCCTGAAATATTGGACCATCATTCGCGAATCGATTTCACGTAAATAAACGCTTGTAACGTCGAATGAAGCTCCAGTATTACGTGCAAACGAACAAGACTAACAATTTTTAACTGTTAAAAGAATTTCCTATTTTTCAAAAGTGAACGGTTTAGAATTTTCAACGGCGATTCACGTTCTATACAGTGGAATTTTTAGGTCATACACTGACTTTTATTCCATAGAAATATTCCGTAGAAATATTTTTATATTTGACCGACGACCAATCATTTTGTCGAATTGAAAAGAATAGTTACAACAGTAAACTTGAGTTATTTATCAATAAAGTTTCATCAGTATCAAAGTAAACCTACACGACAATTATACGTTCAACTATAAAAAGAATTATAAAATTCCACTAGCCATAGATGTTTAAAGAATCAAACCAACCCCATAAAATAGAATATTCAGAAATACTTCAATTGAACTTTCGCAGTGAAATGGTGTTATTTTATTTTTATGCTTACGTATGTAATTGATATTTCGCAATGAAAATGATGTTTCAATTTATACAATAGAAGTATAACAATTAAATTTGAACGAGAAATGATCCAAGTATAAATAGAACTGTAACATGTATTATACGATGCATAAAATTGATTGGAATATTATGCTCCACGTTCCTAGAAACACCCGGTAGATTTCTATTTCACTTACAGGAATCGTTCTGTTGCCAATACCGTCTTCAATCTTCTTCCCTCGTTCGCTTCCGGCTGTTTCGTACTCGCCGGTAAAATGTTCTGGTTTAAAGCTAAAGCGTTTTTTCCCTCGCAAGAACCAAGAATGCCCGAGTTATCCTTACATTTACCCTCGCGATTTAGATAAGAACCATTCACCAAAAACAACCATACAATGCTTACCATATTGCTACACCACAAATAAATTCGAAAATCTTAAACGAATATTTTCAATCGAATATTAAATCTGATCGATCATTAAATCAAATGTTAATTCTTCCTGGACAAACTCAAAAAAGCTGGAACTGAAGAAACTTTTTTAAACATTTTACTAGACCAAATTCTGGAAATTAGAGAATGTTCTAAACGCAGAAAATCTGCTCTCTTATCACATTCTTTTTTTAAAATATAATTTGTCAAACACGGAAGTATTGTTTTGAGTAGGTACTACTTTTAGTAGCATCACTGCGGGGAATCCTATTATTTTGTTTATTCGTTCCAGACGCGACATTCGCGGAACATAAAAGTAAACAAGAACAGCCTTCCCCAAGAAGACCAATTTCAATCGTTTTTGCCAGTTCATCGCGTAACCCCGCGCCGCCTTAGGCGCCACAAATCGTTTATTCGTTATCGAACCCCGCAGACCTCGACGACATCGGTACTGCGATTTCGGCCCAGCGAACTTCCTATAATTTTATGTTGTCCCGCGACCTCAGTTCTACTCTTCATCGAAATCCAATTTACCTCGCGCAGAACGCACGAATAAAGTAGCACTAAAGATAAATAGATCACTTTAACAAAGTAGGACAATGTTTTCCAGAGAAGAAGGACAAAAATCAAGGAAACAACGTATGGTAATTAACTTGCAACCACAATCACACAGTTTCGAACTTTTTCAAAATTCAAATGAAATTGAACTCAAATTTTTATTCATTTCAGAGAATACAAACGTTGACATTCTTTAATTAAGTACACTGAAATCGAACTATTCGAAAATCTTTCCTCTCGATTGCTTTCAATTTTTCAAAATTAAAATTCAACTGAGATCTGTATTAATTTCTATTAATTAGAGCCTACGAACGTCAACGTTCCTTAAATAACTACATCAAAATTGAACCAACCGAAAATCTTTCGTCCCAATTCCTCTCAATTTGTCAAAATTAAAGTTCCACTGAGGTCTGTATTAATTTCTATTAATTATAGAGGCTACGAACGTCAACGTTCCTTGAATAACTACATTAAAATTGAATGAACCGAGAATCTGTCCTAATTCGAAGTTTCGAAAATGATTGCTTGGTAAAGTGAGTAAAGGATCGGCGCAACAAAATACCTAAGTACATTCCTCATTCGATCCGTGAGAAGGATAAATCCCCTCGAAAGTTACAGGAGAACTGAAGTTTTATAATGGTTGCGTCTTCCATTAACCGGCGATGATAAAATTTCCCCTGTAATTGGCTCGTTAGGGACGCGTCAGCGTGCCTCACCTTCCATCACGATCAAACGCTGCAATCGGTGATATATAATAATTTCCCATCGGAGCACGTAATCGATTAAACTGTGCCGGTGTCACTGTGCACGCGCAAGTAATTCATTTTCGTTCGTTTATTTTTTAACGGGCCACCCCGGCCGGCGCTGGCTGGTAAAAAGCGACGAAAGGAAACGGCGAAGGAACGTGCCACGGCGCAAGAACGCCGAACTCATAAAGAACACGTAAAGCCGCCGCCTACACAGCGAGCGCCCCTGTTCCTCGATTGCGCTAATAACACCGCCAAAGCATTTAACGCGAGAGAAAAGCAATACGACTGCATTGATCGCGCGGGCGAATTTCGCTAACGATTAATGCCGGCCAACATCTTTACCGGGGGATCGTTTAACACTATAACTACCAGACAAGTCAAAATGTCCCGATGATTCATTCCTTCTCAAATATCGAAATGATAACAAAATATTCTCGGAGGAATTGTCGAAGGAATTTTTTTCGTAATATGCGAACTGAATTGTAAGTCAGTCGAAATCGCAGTTGATGCACTCTTCGCGTTTCAATAAGAGAATTAGGAGAAGGTAATTCGATTGCTCGGTAGTTTTAGTGTTAAACGCTTGGGTAATCATCTAAACAAGCTATGGCTACAAACTTTTTCAGTAATTTCAACCCTGTATAGGATTGTGTGACTGGAGTCGCATATTACCAATATATTAGCATTTTATTGATTCATTTCATTTTGTATAGCAAAGTGGTGAATAAAATGAAGGGAGTAATTAACTTAATTATTAAAACTATTAATACATCGTTAATTTGTATTTACCTGTTGACATTTGGTAATTTTATACTACATACATGTTTGTATACGAAAATAAATTCGAGGTATAGACAGTTAATTGAGATCATTTAGTGAATTAATTTATTAAATTGCAAATATCCTCAGATAAAGACTTACTGAGTAATGAAAGAAGGAAATGAATTAAATAAATAGCAACGCCGGTGCTAAAAACGGTAGATCTCCCCATTCCACTGGGTAAGTGTTAATAAATGGGAAAAGGTAGACGAAGGTTGCAGACGAAAAGTTGGACAAATGAAATTTTAAAAGATGTTCAATTCATTTGGGTAAGTGTCGCTGATTCATTTTGAACGGTTGTGCGATTGAAGAATGTTCAAAAAGAATATATGGTTTGGCAGACGCGCGCTAAAGCGTCGCTATGTCACGAGAAACAACAAATATCGCACATTTATCTTGTAAATACAGGATTGCGAAAACGTTGCTGGTGAGCGTGGCGTCAAATACGAGGAACACACGCTCGACGCAAGGGAGATTTCAGCGTGCAAATATAGCGTATCCGGTGGACAACATATATTTACTACTTTATCTTTGAGAGACGCGTTAAATTGTGTGTTCGCAAAGTTCAGGGGAAGGTAACAAAACCGAAATGATTTGCAACCTTTTCACGGATGGACGTTTATCGCTGTAAAAAATTCTGGTTGATATTTTTCGGCGAACAAACGGAATTCCCTGAATTGAATCGTCACCCCAAAAATGTACTACTGAAACTTTGTTACTACACGTTCTTGTCAAAGCGATATTTTTTCAACGTTTAATCTTCAATCTGATGCGAGGACAAGATATGAAAGATAAAAGAACATTATAATCAGATGTAATAGTTCATTTTACTGTACGTTTTAACGTCTTCGAAACATGAAAATATTGAAAAATAACACTTGTTGTTTGATTTTAATTAACAGATTTTGATTAATCGGTAACGTATCTTATCTTAATGAAATCAAAGGTGGTGTAGAGATATTTATTAAGTTATCTAATCTTATGAGAGCACACTCTTAACGAGTATATAAATGTGCGGAGTGAATTTAGTTTCAACGGAAGTAGTGTCAATAATTTGTAGTGACAACATTTTAACAGGATGGTGTCGCTAATTGCCCTCGTACTTCCAGCGATTATCGCTGTAGCTAATTGTAAGTGTGATTGTTTGAAATTCAGTACCTGTAATCGTGTATTAAATATTCTTTAAAAATAGTAAAAATTGTTGCATACACTTTTTATATCAGAATTAATATATATATTTCCCCGAAAAGTATTTTAAACTGAAAGTGCATTGGTTAAACTGAATTGCATGGTTAAAATATTAACAAATTACTCGGTGGTGTACCTAAGATTTCAACGAATCAGTATTAAATTTTACATCTGTTGATTATGAAATAGTTGATTAACATTATTACAATAATTGTTGTAGGTGAACTTGATCCAAGGATTGTAAATGGCAAAACTGCATATTCAGGCCAATTTCCTTATCAAGTAAGTCGAGCACATAAAGTAATCACGTTAATCATTCTATCGTTATAATTAGATTTAACTTTTAAAATTAATAAAATTCTTGTCAGGTTTCTCTTCAAACACGATCCACGTCATTTCATTTCTGTGGTGGATCGATTCTGAACGCAGACTACGTTCTTACAGCTGCCCACTGTGTAGAAAGGTACGAGAAATAATTGAAAACAGTTGCAGAAGTAGTAACATTAATTGAATCGAATGAAAAAACTTTCGAAAAAGTGTCCAATTAAAGCCTATATTGTTCACAGTAAGAAAGTCTCAGAAATCAAAGTTGTTGCTGGCACGACCAATTTAGACAAACCGTATTTAACACGCAATGCCTCGTCGATTTACTATCACGCCAAGTATAACAGTTCGGACTCGTGGATAAACGATATCGCTTTGATCAAGGTATATGAAAATATTTTATCTGTAAAATAGAAAATCGGAAATACATTCAATAGGTATATTAATTAAGACATATCTTCGAATGCACAGGGTTGCACAAAATTTATATTATATAAAGATGAATTTAGATTGCAAATAGAAAATTCAATTATATTCAATAACCATATTAAATAAGATACTACATCCTCGAATGTGCAGAGTTGCACAAAATTTATATTATATAAAGATGAATTTAGATTGCAAATCAAAAATTCAATTATATTCAATAACCATATTAATTAAGATATATCTTCGAATGCGCAGGGTTGCACAAAATTTATATTATATAAAGATGAATTTAGATTGCAAATAGAAAATTCAATTATATTCAATAACCATATTAAATAAGATATTATATCTTCGAATGTGCAGAGTTGCACAAAATTTATATTATTTAAAGATGAATTTAGATTGCAAATCGAGAATTTAATTTTATATAATATTTATATGATACTAAATGTCCTATGATTTATTTGAGAAACATACAAGAACTATATAACTTATAATGTATGGAAATTAACGACACATGAATTTATTTTACTTATTTATTTCTTGCCACTTGCCAATTTATTCTTACCTCAATAATAAATTCTCTTGACGTTTGATAATCTCTTTTTCGTAAAGGTAAAACCTGCTTTCGTGAAGAGCTCTTTGGTATCCTGGGTCCCCATGCCAACCTACAGTGATAAGGTTAAAGAAGACGACAAAGCTGTAGTCTCCGGATTTGGCAGGCTCGCGGTAAATATTCCCTTGACTTTCATTCGAGATTAAAAAATGCGCAAGTATTATCAACTTGTAACCACGGTTATGTAAATTTTAACGAGTCCTTGGAAAATTCATTCTGTCACAGTACAACGGCGACAGGACAAAGATTCTGCACTGGGCCAACATTACAATTGCCAGTCAGACTTATTGCAAAAACGTGTGGTCAAAGAAAATTTATAACGCACAACTGTGTGCATATGATCCAAACGAAGTTAGAGGACACTGCAAGGTCAGTTACTTCATTATTTTCTTAAACAATTTAGTCAATTATTTCAATTATTTATTTATAATATATCAATAATATATTCATATTAGCATATTACATTACTTAAAAATCAATAGTATTTTGAATGGATTCAAAAATACAAATTTTAATAACAATCAAGGTAACATTCTTCAAATTTCCATTAGCCTTTTTCTAATCAATTTTTCATAATCCTGATAATTAATTGATCAACGAAATTAAATCGAAGTTAAATATTCTCAATTCGAAAGTAACTAAATCAAATAGAAATTTTCATTTTTATGTGCAAAAAAGAGAAGAAGCAGTTGTCAGGAATTTCAATCGTGACAGGATTTCTAAATTCAAAAGTATCTAGTATTAAGTATACGAATAAAATTCTTTTATTACATTTATTTCTGTATTTATAGGGAGATTCTGGTGGTCCTTTGACAGTGAACGGAAAACTAGCTGGAATCGTGTCCTGGTCGAAGAACTGTGCCGACAGAGTATATCCTTCCGTGTACACTCGCGTCAGCATGTACCTTGCTTGGATAAAAACACACGCCGTGTAAAATATGTAAGAAACTGTAAAAATAATTACACAATAGAACCTTGATTATTCTCTTTAATTATATAGCCAACACTATAAATAAACGATGATCCAAGAAGAAATTTTTTAAAGCATGCTTACAAAATTCGATCGAAATTATTGAGTTTTTACCAAAAATCAAGATTCTGAACGATCTAGATCGCAATAGACAGTGATTCAATTAATCGGGATTATACTGTATGCTTGCATCTTTGTTTGAAACTGACGGATACAAGAAATTCAACTAATTTCAACGTCATTTTTAAAAACAGAACTTTACCTTTACTGATAGTTTGTAAAAGATTCGAAAAACAATCCGGCGCACGCAGTAGAAGCGAAAGAAATTTTTGCAAAACGACGAATAACTTTATTTTGTGTTTGTTTCAATTTTAGCTATAAAAGGATACTCCGTGCAGTTGAATTTGCGGGAAAATTGAACTAGTCGATTGCGTCTCGATCAAAAAACGAAATACCGGCTTGCGCAAAGCCCCGAAGCAGGTCCATCAAATTGTTGAACCGAAAAATTCTGCGAAATAGCTTCTAGGAATAACGGTGTGTGCTTGTTCGGTCGAAAGATTAATAAAAGCGCATGTTCCAGAGAAAGAAAAGAAGTTTTGATCCGAATAAAACCTTCGGCTAGCTACAATACAATATTTCAATAGGAATTGGGTTGAAATATTCATAAACGATTTGAAGAGATCTCAGTCAACACTGAGTATTAAATTAAAATCGAATAAAGTAAGAAATGCATTATAAAAGAATATAATCCTTTTAACATTGTAACAGTTGAATCGCTCGAGTACCTATTAATTTAATCAAAGCCTCAATAAATGAAATTACGTCGCGCGTAATTAGAATTTTTTAATATTAAGTTATGAGAACATAAATTTCCAAAAACATTTGTAACTTAGAAATATTTCAGGCGTGTACTTTACTAATTCAATTTCACACAATTTTGAATGTAAATTTCCAGTCGTTGCTCAAAAAGAATGGGACACTTTCAACACCTCGCCGCGTAACGCAAACATGTCAAAAGAAATAATGGCGCGGCGAGCTTGTTCTTCCGCTTTACGAGAGTACAAAGACCGTAGTAAAATGGCGAACCATCCACGTCCCTATTTACCGAATCCTTGCTCTCGAAAAGAGCTGAATCCAGCCTTCGATTACGTCACGGCCACTAACAATCCGAATTTTAAATCGCGAAAGCATAAAACGGCGGTCGTTGCTAGCACAACCTAAAAATCGGACGGTAAGAGCTCATAAATCGAAAAACTCTGAAGAAATAGTAAACAAATCGGTTACAGTAAAAGTGTTTAATTTTAAAGGAACAAGAGGAAAGTTTATTATTGCATTAATAGTTTCAATTGATTGTTACCTGCATTTCGATTTGCACAACTGGAACAACTTCATCGGAGCATTGATAACTAGTTTTTACTAAATAATATTGGACGAAGTTTTATATTTTGCAAATATGTTGTTAGTTGATATCGATATCTTTCTTTACGTCAGCAAGTAGACATCTTTCAAAATGATAATGAACCGATGTTCACCCAATTTTCAAATTCCTTTGTCAAATGGATTATCTTCTTTACGAGTCCCTCAATTGGTACTGTCTTTACGTAGCAGACTGAAAAACTTAGCAGTGCCCGAGCCCGAAGGAATTTTATGGTAACGTAAAGATGGAAGATCCGGGTATTCTCATTTTACGATGTCATTAAAACAGTTTAAGGGGAAGGGAAAATTACTGGGACTCGTAACGTCCTAGGAAACTCATTTATAACTAAGCAAATTAAAGAGATCCCCGGCTGCGAAACCGAATTATACTCACTGAATAAGAAATAAGAAATCGGGAAGGAGAATATTGTTCGAAGTTTAGATTTGCCTTTATAATGTGAATCCGGAAAATCCTCTCGAATACACACGAGTATCATTACCACTTTTATTAGAAGTCTACTTAAAAACAATAATTATGTTCTCCTACTTTTTCCAATTAAAATTTTCATCCCTGATTTTCTGTGAAACGACGAATTCCCATTATTTAATTGGATGTGTATTAGTTTTTAACGAGCGAGAATTTTTTGAATTTCTAAAAACTTTTTCATTCGTAATTTAAAATTTTCCCGTTCATTTATTCTTTCATAGTGGTTTCAAACAGAACCAATTGTTTATCATCACAATTATCAACGTACATTATTATCTATTTTCTCATTTCACTAACTCTGAAACTAAGTTGATTTATTAATCCCTAAACTGCAATGTAAGTCAGTTAAAATCGTGATAAACGTGTGTTTATAATTTCCACGAAGAAAAATTTAGTTGAAATGCTTGGCGGTTTTGTTCATAATCATTTTACATATTATAAGTGTCTCCAACAAATTCTATCATTAATGACCACCACAACGAAGTGTCAATAGGTTTATCAATGGTTTACAATCTTCCACGAGTAAATATTTCCCGCGACCCAAAATATAATATTCTAAATACCGCAAAAGTTCTATTACAACCTTCATATTTCAACGTTCATCATACTTCAACGTAATATCTGCCCTCTTAAAATTAGAACAAGCTTATACTAGCAACCGAATTCATTTCCGTCACAATCTAATATTCCAAATGTATAAATAACCTGAGAATCGCAGCTAGTTTAAAGAAATATTTATAGATACAGTCAACGTGTTAAGTACCAGGAAAAGAAATTAATAATTAAGTCTGTCGAGAAGTTCTCTCCAATAATGTCCTCTCAAGTTTCCAAAGATATATCATTCCACAGAAATGGAATCCACAAAGTACCATCAACCTACGAAGAAGTCACTAGTAAGAATACAAATGATATTGTTCAGTACTGAAAACGTAGTATTTTCTTTTCGAAAAATGGAACTTTCCGGTGGAACGTAATACTTCCTCGCGAAGGACCAGCTTGCGAAATGAACTTTCTCTATCTACGGTAATTAAGAAAGTTCGTTTGCACAGTGGATATTCGGAGTACCTAGCAAGTATACATTTATTTACGAAGAGGAGATACCGAAAGAAAAGGAAAATCGGGAACAGAATGCAACAGGCAACTCGTCCGCGGTTGGTTCGGTTGTTTTTCCCTGGCAAATTCGAGGCAATTTCGTCTTAACGCTACCCGATGTTAATCCTAAGATAAGCAATCTCGCGATTTCTCCCCGTTAGCGTGCCGACTGCGGTTGCCGCTGGAGAATACGGGAGAATATCCTCCAGAGGACCATGCGTAATTGTTAACTCATAACGCGAGGAAGGGGCTCGCTCCTCTTCGTATTTATAAACTCTGCTTAACCGTTGTCACATCGTCCGTGAGAAACTTTCACGTGGACGCAAAGTGTACCGCGCTTTAAAGCACAAACTTTTCAGACACGCGGACACGGACGAACCGGTAGAAAAGTTCGTACGAATATAATCTTGTTAGCACGTTTTTTCTTCTTCTTTTTTAGGTCTACAGAGTTGTTAGTATTTTCCGTTTACGAAGTTTGATGAGTATATATTTATCTGAGCACGGAACGGAATTATGTAAGACTTTTCCTGGCGATTCGGACGTTTTCGGATCTGTCGAGATTGAAATTCGATTAACGTGACCATTCCGTAACTGTATCGAAATTTGTATAAATTGGTCGTGCGAAGTTCATTTTCAAATGTCCGTAAGGTAAGGGGATACTAAAATTCATTTTGCAGTTTTTATACGGTGAAGAAACAGTAAAATTTATTTTTAAGTTTCTGTAAAGTAAGAAAACTCTAAAATTGAATTTCAAAATTCTGTGAGGTGAAGATTAGTCGAATTCATTTTCAAATTTCTATAAGGTGAAGAAATAGAATTTATTTCCAAATTTCTGTGAGGTAAACAAATGTTAAAATTTTATTTCGAACTTCTGTAAAGAATGGTAAAATGTATTTTCAAATTTCTATAAGGTAAAGAAATATTGCAGTGCATAGAGGTTTGTCGTACATTTCAATGAATAATTTTGAAATTTGTATATTCTCTGTGGTCATCAATTTTGTACTAAAACGTGTGTCTAACAATATGGAAGTTGCTCCAATAGATTTCAGAGATTGATGGAGGATCAAAGGATCAATTTTATCGAATGAGATATTTTTTAATCAGTAATCGATTCGAACACTTTCAACTTAGCCCGAGTCTCCCGTCATTTGCAATGGAAAAGAGTTGCACGCGGTGGCGCACCTCTCTGCAGTAAGATTCCCAAAGCTTTTGAAACCTTCAATACGTAAAAGTATATGAAGTTCCGAAGGGTTTCAAACTCTCCGCAGTATGAAGGTTTCCTATCGTCTTATAAGAGGCCGTTCTCGCATACATACACTCCTATCAAAGGATTTTTCATTTTTCCGGGCTTTAAACCGTCGCAATAAGGAAAACTATTTCTCTTGCAAAACTTTTCCCATCAGAAGTATGTATTTGCCCGTTCGCCGTTATCGCGGCGCACAATGCTGTTCATGGAAAGCGTTCAAAATAAACGTCAGACAGAATAATATATTAGCAATTGATATCAACACTTCAGAAGTGGGATTTCTGCTAACGTTAAGAATATTTGATATGCTTATATGTAACAGTTTAATAATAATCACTAATATTTAACGTGTAAAGTATAAATACCAATTACAGTAATTAATGAAGACAAAGCTAAATGAAAAAGGAAATTAAAATTCGATGAGCATTTGATTTTTACAATAGAAGATGTTACTTAAGCGTTTGTTTACTGTGACAGTTCAATTTTCATTAAATCTATCTTTCATTATTTAATGTGCGTTAAAGTTCAATTTTTATTAAAATACTGCTGCGAAACTTTGTATGTTGATTTTCGATTTAATCTGCTTAAAAGCTTGACTACTCTGAACTATACGATGTACCTTTAAAAAGCCAGTTTGTAATCAAAAGTGAAAGTGGCAGCTTGGGTTTGAAGAAAATTTTTTTCAGAGAAAATATTCCGTACGAGTACTTTATGGGATAATGGCAATTTCTGAAATATTGCAAAAAAGTTTCGGGTACAAATGCAATACCGTAACGGCTAAGTGAAAGTTAGACAATGTGTTTGCAAGCAATTGACCATTGCCATTACCTTGGAGGGTTCACTGATGGGATGACCAACCGATCGATACGCTGGGACAGATGCGGAAGTGCATCGGCCCTGATGTTGGCGTAGGTCCAACCACTTCGGAGCTCTTACAGATACCGACGATGGCGGAAAGACTTTTTTTTTTACGAAAAGAACCGATTCTTGCCGACTGTAAATACTAGGAATCAATTAACCGAAGAACCGAAGATTACCATTATTACCAACGATCACAGATCATTTTCTCAGTCTACGAAGAACAAAATGTTTCTTCTCATTTCAATGCACAATACTGTTTTAAATTCGGTGGAGCTGAAAAATGTATTATTATGTAGCACCGAATGAAAATTTGAAATTAGATATCATTTGAAACTAAACACCAATGGGGTCGTAACAAATTATTAAAGAATACTTAAAATATTTTCAAATTAACATAACTTTATCTTTCTTGGCACTTTTTTCACAAGTTCTACTTCAATTTTTCTTACTTCCAATACCTTTTATGAGTAAGTGTTTAGAAACTAATTAATCTAGTTAATACAGCACAATCATCGAAAAACCTATTAACAAATTTCCATTCGTTATGCTTATTTCTCGATATTAACAAATTTC